GGGGCATTTATGGTTCGTCGACACAGCCTTTGGAGGTGCAGGTCTTGGAAGATCATTTTGCCATTTTTGATGTTTGGATGGTGTGCGTGATGGTGTTGAACTCATTTCTGTCTCGTGGATGAACTTCAGGGACGATCTTAACTACACTTCTGCCTTTGCGGATGCACCTTCCTTCAAGTTTTTCTCATTTGTATGCGTTGATGGGCTGGAATTGCTTGACTTTGTTTGGACCAGTTACGCTGCACTCAATGGCTCTTGATGCGATTATTTAACGAAATTGAGCTGCCACCTCCGTCTTTTTTGCTTCTTTGCTGAATGCATTGCTTGTTTTACTTCTTCCATTAGTATCCTCCACCAGAATGGGACACAGTGACAGCCGAGGCTAAGAATTTGATCAACTCCATGCTCACTATGAACCCCTCCAAACGTATCACCGCTGCCGAAGCATTGAAGCACCAGTGGATCTTCGTAAGTTTCCCCACGTTCTTCAGATGCCAGGGCAGATTCGGAAGCTGAGTCATTAAGTTCAGTTGGTTTGAACTCTAACTGGTCTCATTCATTCGAGGCATGAAGACTGCAATCCTTGAATACGGTTGCCGAACGCTGATTTGTTTAATGTTTTACCTTAAATTGAAAAGCGTCCAATTCGAATTTGTGACTCAATTCGCACGGAAGTTAGTCTGTTTAGGCTTAATGATACTACCATATTAACCGTCTTGGGTGCCAAAAACACTCTTGGAATTGAAGGAAGGATCCGAGAAATGCTTGGGTGGCGTTAGGGTTTTACTAGTATTTTTTCGGTCCTTCCAAGACGGTACGACTCCAGTAACTGCAATTGTGCCCTTTTCGCTTGGAGTCTCAAAAACGTCGAATGCACAACGCGCTTGCAAATCGTGCTGAGACTTGTCGACCCTCTAAATTCGATGCCTTGTAGCTGGATATCACTGTCCATCACTTGTGACTTGTTGGATCGTTGAAGGAAGACGAGTGCGCACATTTTGAGGGGACAAATATTCATCTTTTTACTTGGGAGCGCCGCGTCAGTCACAATCTGTTCTTCCAAGTTTCTCTCATTAATGAATTGGAATTATTGAGCCTTCTATGGAGAATGTAGTGGACTTCTACTTGTAGCCTTCACTGTAGTCACATCAAACTAGGCTTTTAATCCGCTTGACTCCAGCGTATTCCTCGTGAATTCTGCGATCATCCCACATCAATACGGTTCCTTAGATTTTCTTTAGCTTGACGTGAAACCAGCTATCAAGACCCGAGTGAGAAGGATTGACAATTATCATCATGCGATCAAACCATTTTGTGGCTATAATTGATGTTGTTTTGTGCTTTACTAGACGAGTATCTCATCATGACAACAAAATTTGACCCAGTCGCCATCTTTTTAAATCCTCGGTAATCTGTATTGCTTCTTTGCGAGCTGAATTTCAATCTGATTATCGTCAGTAGTCTAATAGCAGTCCGAGGGAAACAGGGCAGGAATCTGGATGGGAGACACTCTCACAGTCCCAAAATGCTCATTTTTACTTCCCACTCTGCCTGCCCAGGTAAGTGGGTGGGTGGGTGGTGAAGCGTGTTCGTATCATGACATAAATAAATCAGTGACAAGGCGCTGCCTATCTACAAGGAGGGGAGAAGGAGAGGAGGGAGTGGTAAGTAAAAATGGAGGCGTGAATTATGCACACACCTCGGGCTGTTTTTACTACTCTCTGTTACCTACATCTCGCCTCTCAGCCACCTCCAAAATGATCACAATTTGTGGAGGATGGGATGCAGATGTCTAGACTTCCCGTGCATTTAATTAGCGAGTCGTAACAGTTTAATTAAATTGTTCATGTTGAAGTCTTAGTTTGCTTTTTCTCCAAATGGTGGAACTGCGAAGATGTATTTTGATCACAGTTGGTATTCTCCTTGGTCTGTTTAAATTATTGACGTAAGGACTTTCTCCAACGTATTCTGCTACCATCAACCCATCTAAAAACTCCAATTTCAAACACCACTTTGACCTTCAAAACCACTTCGGCGACAGTGTTCTCAACCCTTTGGAATCCTTAGATGCCTTGCCATTACTGAGTCTCACAATTCGGCCTCCAATTGCGCTAATTTCTTGCTTTTGTACTTTCTTTCAGCAACCTGAACGCGTGGCTTCGAGCATGCACAGACAGGAAACTGTGGAGTGTCTTAAGAAGTTTAACGCCAAAAGGAAGCTCAAGGTGAGACTTCTACATTGTCTCTGCTCTGTCAGTAGCCGCCTCGTCCTTCCTCATCTTAGCATTAATGCCTCCTTATCCGTCATTCTCGACATATCCTTATTTGTGAGGGTCTTGCGAGTTTTAAACGGACCGTACTAATGGGGACCAGAAACTCCTTTAACGGATTGAGTATGATGAGTCCTTTTCAAGTTGTCTCCCTTCTGCTGGAACTGAAAGGAATAGCAGGTGTACAGTTCCATTTTGGTCGCCTTTTTTAGATTAGCTTACTTGCTTTGTTCCACCTCCTGTCCTGTCACTCCTTCCGTCGCTTTTCAAGCGACTCAGCAGATTAAAGTGTGTTTGTGCATAGCCACGAGGCTCGACTTTTTTCTTTCACCTTCTTCGAACCCCATGGCTTGTGCGATCGTGCCTTTTGGCTGCTGTGCCATCGATGGGTGGTAAGAGCGAAGCTTCGCAGCCGGCATTGGGAGCACTTGGAAGTGGAGGCGTCTACTGTGGGATAAACTCTGATAACCATAGTTTATGACGCTCGACCTCATGTAAGATTGGCTCTTGTTTGGCGCATTATGCAGCAAAGTCTGGTAGACTTAAATTAGATGGTTTCAGGAGAGGTTCAAATCTAAGCTCACCGAACGTCTAGCATAAGCAGCAAGGACAGAGGCGTGTGCCACCAGAGCTTGGTAGGTGGGTAATACGGCGCCTGCCGTCGGAGGTCTTGCCTTTCAATGTGAATAGCACTGATGTTTGTTTAGGCGGGATGTGGTGAAGTAGCCTTTTCTTTCAGGAGGATTTGAGGATTACTTTTAACAACTGCATTTCTATCTGGCTTTTGATATTTTTTGGTAAATCTTGTTAGGCGTTGTCGGTTTTTGGACCGGATCACCAAAAGTGGCGTCCAGCTGAGATGGGTAAAGAATTGGGGTCGTCACACATCGTCTAACCTAAGTTAACTGTGATTGAGCTGCCTGATTTCTCCAAAGTAGACTTCCTTGAGACCTTTTTTAGGTCATTTGAATAGGGTATAATCGCAATCCTTTGGGTCTAACTTCTGGGTTATTTGCCACTGAAATTTGGGGTAGATCAACCGGAAACTCGCAATGCCTTTGGGTGGGCACAATTTGGCGGTTCAGATATCTACAGAACAATGAGGATGGTTAATAAACTGCACTTCCGCTTTATTTGCTAAATGAGCTGTAGGTCTCGTGGTGAACCCCTTAACCGGTGGTAGTGAGACGTGTAGAGGTTGGTTTGGCATGATTTAGTTCAGGACAATGTCTGGCGGAAAGTAATCATCACAATGCAACAGGGTGAACAGGTCAACTGGAAGATCGAATTGGTGTAACTGTGCAAATCCTTCCTCCTCTCTCATCACCTTACAGACGACAAGGTCCTAAGTCGGTATTTTTAAGGTTTTATTCCAACTTTTATTTAAAGTGCATTGAAACCTGATTCTCATTTGAAATTGAGCGCCATTCAATCGCTCTCCTCTTCCTCTTTAGTGTGGGTTTGTAGCTCTGGCAGCCATGAGCAATTGCCATCACCGAATAGCGATCTCTCGGTTATTGCTGCAGAGGCGCGTGCGTGCTTTTTTGTGGATTTGATCACATTTTAAGGTGTATCAGGTCGCCCAACACGCTAATGGCGAGTTGCCAAGTTCGCTTGCTCCCCCTCCCGTCGGTTGGTTTTGTGGTCCTCTTTTCCCTTTCCCCCTCCCTCTCTCTCTGCTCATGCGACCCAAACAAATACCTGAAAATTTTGGTGGGCCATCCCAAAGTACCATTACTATTACTTGGAATCCTTTTCAGTCGACTAACACTCCCCACTTTCCCATCAACGATGTAGGTTCTGCATTAAGTGAGTTGTCAGCTCTCGAGCAGAGCTTTTAAACTTTGTGCTGTGAAACAACTACTCCACTTGTCATTGAAAAAGGAAAATAATGTGGTTGTACCATATCGAAGCGGCGATTCTTAGGCCTCTGGCTGGATCGTCTCAGAATTCCTCTTTGAACTGCCTGCATTCTTTTTGAGCAGAATTCAAGCATTTCCACCCTCTCGTGGTGTTGCGAGTGTCAAACGTTCCCGCTAACAGATCTCGAACTCTCTCATGATCTTCAAGTCATGCTTAAATTTTCTTCTGATGTGCTATTTCAGGATCAAATTTTATCAAACGCTCCCAGAATGGTGCTTTTTTCGCTAGTCAGGTGTTTTTACATAGATTGCAAAGGGACTGATCCGACATTTGGTTAGACTTGAATTGAAACTAGTCCAGGGGCTCCTAGGGTTGTCTCGTCTTCTTCCTATAGGTAGTCGGAAATTCGAGTTTGTTAGTTAGAACTATGTTGAGCGGGCTTTGTTGCTCAAATTTCCCTCCAGCACTTTCTCAATTGCGCCAGTAAAGTTTTCGTGTTCTAGAGACGCGGCAATGCTGAGCCAAATTCCCCCACGGTATTTCAAAGTGCTCCCCGCCAATTGTTGATCAGGGAGCTTTCTTTTTTCACACCCTCATTGGGACATCTTCGAAGTGAATTGTCCTGAATTGTTGCTCCATCACTCACACAAGTGCCACAAAACTTATTTCTGCCACTTTAAAATGACTTTCGGTGGGAAATTTCCACACAGCCCTCTCTAAGGTGTTTATTCGCTGGCTTTGTCTTTTCTACTCCCTCGGGAGGCCTCGACACTTCTCATTTGAAGTACCAAAATGTCACTACTTGTTTGGGTGTTTACCACTTCACATTGAAGCATTAGCCAATCCCCGACCTATGGTTAATGACGACCTGTTTTAATAGTTTCAGTTCTGATCTTATTTCCTACCTCTGCCTTCCCATTGTGTTCACCGCCGCTACCACAGCTTCCTCGTTTCTATCATTCTCTCTGCTTGCTTTTCATCCCCTTCTCTTGGGACTTTTTCTTCACCAGGGCTTCTGAATGATGTAACTCCGCCTTGACACGGTGTGGAAATAAAGTTGTCCAAGATGGTGCGTTCTGCTTAAAGTAGTGGACATCTCTCTTATCTTGGAAGCAGTCCCTTTCTTCCCTTTTCATCCTTTGGAAGTGACACTCAAGGTTGTTCAATGTCAAAACATTTCAATTCACTTTCCACGATGCATTACTGCTCATCCACTTCTCACTCATTTGCTAGTACCTGGTGATAGTTCAAGTTCTTTCCAGATATTTATCGGGTGCTCTTCGGGTCCTGATGGACAAAAGCGTTCGACCCGATTCAGATAGTCGGTCCTCAATCCTAAAGTGGCAAAAGACCAAGTTCTAAATTCATAGTTTGTGAGCGGCTTTTTAGGACAGAATTAGCATCGCCCGTTATTTAGTTCATTCAAGACTGGACCAGGTCTCTACTTAGTCCACAATCTCAAAAACGACTGTCTTGAGGATAGTCTCTTGCCTTTCCTCTGGGAATGATTTCTTAAACCATTTAGCTGTGAACAGGTTATGGTTTTACTGTCCATTGACCTCTGAACACGGGCTACTTATCCAATCGCTTGAGGCTGTCTCGTCAATCCAGAAACCGATTACATGCCCTTTTGCACGCAGTTTATCGGACTCATCGGAAAATGCCTCCGTCACTCCGTCCCAAAATCGGTCTGTTGAAAGTTGATCTCTTTCTCCCTCCCCGGTGGATTGGCTTGAATATTTTGGACCGCGAGCCAAACGCTCCCCCCC